TGTAATTACAGTTTTGTTACTGGTTTAACGGGGTAAGCAGTAATTACAGTTTTGTTACTGGTTTAACAGGGTACACCGTAATTACAGTTCTGTTACTGGTTTAACGGGGTAAGCAGTAATTACAGTTTTGTTACTGGTTTAACAGGGTACACCGTAATTACAGTTTTGTTACTTGTTTAACAGGATATGGTGTAAGTACAGTTTTGTTACTGGTTTAACGGGGTAAGCAGTAATTACAGTTTTGTTACTTGTTTAACAGGGTACGCAGTAATTACAGTTTTGTTACTGGTTTAACAGGATACACCGTAATCACAGTTTTGTTACTTGTTTAACAGGATATGGTGTAAGTACAGTTTTGTTACTGGTTTAACGGGGTAAGCAGTAATTACAGTTTTGTTACTTGTTTAACAGGGTACGCAGTAATTACAGTTTTGTTACTGATTTAACAGGATACACCGTAATTACAGTTTTGTTACTTGTTTAACAGGATATGGTGTAAGTACAGTTTTGTTACTGGTTTAACAGGGTACGCAGTAATTACAGTTTTGTTACTGGTTTAACGGGGTAAGCAGTAATTACAGTTTTGTTACTGGTTTAACGGGGTAAGCAGTAATTACAGTTTTGTTACTTGTTTAACAGGATATGGTGTAAGTACAGTTTTGTTACTGGTTTAACAGGGTACGCAGTAATTACCGTTTTGTTACTGGTTTAACGGGGTAAGCAGTAATTACAGTTTTGTTACTGGTTTAACAGGATATGGTGTAAGTACAGTTTTGTTACTTGTTTAACAGCATATGGTGTAAGTACAGTTTTGTTACTGGTTTAACAGGGTACACCGTAATTACAGTTTTGTTACTGGTTTAACAGGATACACCGTAATTACAGTTTTGTTACTTGTTTAACAGGATATGGTGTAAGTACAGTTCTGTTTATGTTTTAAAGTACAAAGAGTGTTCTTAGCACAATTATTCAATAATATCAACCTTTTCCCATAGAAAACTTATTGTCTTTTGTAGATAACGTTGTCATTAATCCGTCAACATCGTGTGAATAGTATTAATAACTCAAGAACAGTGAAGAAATGTTTAACTGTTAATTTATAGATTTCTTTTTTATATGTTTCACAGTCAGTCCAGTCCACATTATGAATTATATTGACCAATCTTATATTTTTACCTGTTCCAACACTCAGTGTGATGAACCGATGAAAACAACAAAGATATAAACCCTAGTATTATTTAGCGGAATTAATTGCATTATTGGTGGTATATTTAACATTTTTGTTTTCCCCATATTTTAATTGAGACCCTGTCACCAACAGGCACTTTGGTGCATAAATAGTTTCCAGAAATACGGTCTAAAAATCCGATAGGGGTCCATGGACTCCATCTTGAATTTTAGGGTTAACGTGACAAACTTTGATTAATGTAAACTGGAGATTAGTCTCACTGCGACTCCGAATGAGAGCTGGAGTTGAAGAATGTGAACAGTTTCCTTTTGAAGGTGCAGAGCAGCACCTGTGTTGCTCGAAATAAAACCGTTTTCACACTTACTGACACATGGGGCGATGGGTGATCTGCTTTGTTGGTGACCTTTAGCACATCTGTTACAAGTAACTCCTGTGACACCATCTTTACACGGACACTGGCCAGTGGTCTGGTTGCACGTGCGTCCAGAAGATCCCACAGGATGACAGTCACACGCTGTGAAGACAAACAAACAGAAATAAGTTAAACTACGTGACCCTCAAAGTTACTGAAAATCAACCGAAACTATGTTGTGTACAGTAGACAACCAGACACTATGCTGTGTAGAGAAAATAAACCGTAACTATACTGTGTACAGTAGAAAATTTGAAATTATGTTGTGTACAGTAGACAACCAGACACTATGCTGTGTACAGAAAACAACCCGAAGCTGTGCTGTTTAGAGAAAATAAACCGTAACTATACTGTGTACAGTAGAATATTTGAAATTATGTTTTGTACAGTAGACAACCCGAAATTATGTTATGTATAGAAAACAAACCGAAACTGTACTATGTAGAAAGAACTACCCGAAACTACGCCGTGTATAGAAAGAACAACCCGAAACTACGCCGTGTATAGAAAGAACAACCCGAAACTACGCCTTGTATAGAAAGAACAACCCGAAACTACGCCTTGTATAGAAAGAACAACCCGAAACTATGCCGTGTATAAGAAAAACAACCCGAAACTATGCCGTGTATAAAAAAAAAACAACCCGAAACTATGCCGTGTATAGGAAAAACAACCCGAAACTATGCCGTGTATAGAAAGAACAACCCGAAACTATGCCGTGTATAGAAAGAACAACCCGAAACTATGCCGTGTATAGAAAGAACATACCGAAACTATGCCGTGTATAGAAAGAACATACCGAAACTATGCCGTGTATAGAAAAAACATACCGAAACTATGCAGTGTATAAAAAAAATACCGAAACTATGCCGTGTATAGAAAAAACATACAGAAACTATGCTTTTAGAGAAGATAAAAGGAGATTTGGCCAGTGTCTATGTTTTTGTGGTGATGTAGCTTGCATTTCTATTTTCCTCTATTTCAGAAACTAATTCATAAGAATCAGTCAGTTGATTCCTCTAGATATAAATATTAAGCTTATATAACCTTATTTCATTCGGTCACATAGAGAAAAAAAGACGACGACTTGTACTAATCTTCAAGCAGAATTGTGAATATTTCTGGAAGAATCGACAGATGGCGCTAGTTAACAGTTTCGTTGTATAAAGACGAGTGCTTTGCTGAGTGCAAATGTATCTGTGCTTTTCTCAAAGCGGGTATTGAACTCCGATTTTAGCGTTACAAGCCTCCAGACTTACCGCTGAGCCACCGGGGGGGGGGAGGCAAAAAATGGATTAATTATGGGTATCATTACAATTACGAAACTCAATTTATAGAAAATATGCACTGTGATAATATATATATATATTTCAAGACTTGCTATAGTGTAGCTTTGTAAAACAACATAAAACTAACTAAAATATTTCTCATAAACTCTTCTATACAGAGAAGTTTTAAAAAATATCTGGGCTTAGTCGAGATCCTAAATAAACGTACGTCTTTTCTATTTCTATAACCGAAATCATTATACATCAGCATAAGTAGGAGTTTCTTTGGAATATACCCCCCCCCCCCAACTTATCTGGAGGGCATATCTCGACAAACAAGAGTTGGTCCCGTTTTGCAAGTCTGATTGTAGGAATTGTGATCCAGAAAATGATGAGACAGGAAAGGGGGTCCATTGTGGCATTATTTCTGTGTGAACCTTCATGTCCAGTACTGGGCAGGCAGGCTCTGAATACATGAACGGTAGCGGGTACCTTCATGTCCAGTCCTGGGCAGGCAGACGCTGAATACACCAACAGTAGCGGGTGGTAATTAAGAGTAGAATACTTTCTTTATGCTGACGTGACAATATCTTAACACGCTTCAACTAACGATGTAGTTCCTTGAAATAGGTACAACATGCAACAGTGAAAGCTGACAGCCCCACCATCTTCAAGCACGTAGCCTATAAATAACTGTCACGTGCCACAGACACCTCTGTGGGAGTGGGAGGCCCGCGGTAAACTCGGAATGTGCTTGATCCTCGTGTCTCTTCGGATGTGTTTAGTCTCGTGATCAGGAGCTTATGTCTATACTTTGGGCGAGTATAAAAGTGACATACGATTAAGTCACGTGTTGGAACGTGGACAGAATATGCACGTGTGTAAAACTAAAGTTATGAAAATTTAAAATAGACTCACGTGGTAAATGATAACAGTTTTAGTATGAAACCGGCCACTCCACAACATACCATAAGCATAAGAAACCTGGGAGACGTACTCCGCATCTTATGATTGGTCAGTTTGAATCAGTCACGAACCACACATCAGACTTCAACTATATTTAAATAATTATTTTTCTCTCTTTTTGTCGATAACACATTGTAATTTCTTAATATAAAAACAAAATATCCTACTCGTAAGGAATGTCCCTTACTCGGTTATTATTTTGAGGTATATTGTAAAATATCCTACCCGTAAGGAATGTCCCTTACTCGGTTATTATTTTGAGGTATATTGTAAAATATATTGTTCGGAAAATACATACAATGTATTTTTAGTCTAGGAAGAACGATGTCATCTATCTGTTTGTCCATCCAGAGTCCCTCTTTAGATATACTTATGTAGTCGTACATTTATTAATAGTTCCATTTAGCTAAGTACTTAACCAGTATTTATGACAGTTTAAAACGTAAGGAGCTATCAGCACGTCACGTAGTCGGTGTTAATAGAATAAGGAGAACTTAGCGTTACTGATGAGAAAGGAAGACTATCAGGACAGCTGTGGATAAAATCCGAGGTTAAGCTCCAGCTTAAAGAACATAATTTATATCCTCATTAAACTACTGTAAAGAGAGACAACTCTGGGTCCTTAATTATATGTACAGCATCTGGTCTACAGTCTGCACGTGCTTGAAACAGTTTGCAGTTAGACGTAAGCAGTGCTTGCTTGCACGTGCTTATGGCGTGTGAGGATTTAAAACTAATAATTGGTTAATTAAAATAACAAAGCTTCTGGCAATTTTGACAACAACAAAAATAAAGTCCATTGAGAAATGAAAGGACTTTAGAAGAAGAAAAAAAAATAGCCATGAATAAAATCCCATAAAACAACTGCCTGGGTAAACTTCAAATTAAATATAAACGTGGGCGTGAATGGTGGGAGTCCTGCGATCAATTCTAAATATGATGATAAAGGTCAAATGGTAGGAGCGGGAAAGTTATATTGGTTTCATCCGACAGTATATAAAACATAAGAGGCTTGGTTAAGTTTCTTCTTATTTATCATATAAATAAATGGATCACCTTATTAAGTTGCCTGGTTCTTCACTACAACAAGAAGCTCATACACATGGTGTAATGTTCGGTGTGTCAATCATCGCCCTGCTCGGGCTGTAATTCATAAGTGGGGGCGTAACAACACGAGTGATCAGTAACCAATCCATCTTTGTAATCAACACCGTTTTGTTTGAGAGAAATCTGACCAATGACTAACGTATCTTATCGATCAACTTCATCACGGTGTAATCGGAAGTACTCGATAATCATCATATCATCCAAGTGTTCGTATCAACAGAAGTGAAGACAGTTAACAATTTCACAAAGTTTGTACACATAAGAGACTAGTTACCAGTTTATATTTCATAAAGTTCGTAGAATCAGAAGTGACTGGTGGCCAACCCGCATCTTACATACAGAAGTGACGATTGTCCAGTCTACATCTTACACATGTTCCTAGGAAGGAATTATGGCTAATCCATTCATTCTCGAGTTATAACAGACAGAATGGGTTATGGCCAATCAAATTATTCTCGGGTTATTATAAACAGAAGTGACTGGTGACCAACCCGCATCTTACATACAGAAGTGACGATTGTCCAGTCTACATCTTACACATGTTCCTAGGAAGGAATTATGGCCAATCAAATTATTCTCGGGTTATTATAAACAGAAGTGACGAGTGTCCAATCCACATCTTAACCATGTTCCTAAGAGCAGAATGGGTTATGGCCAGCAAAATTATTTGTTTTAGAGAGTTTAGGTTTCACTATGATGGTGAGGATCTGTTAGGGTCAGTTACGATAAGGAAGATTTGTTTGTTTGTATTATAGAGTTTATTTAAATTTGACTTGGATGGAGAGGTTCTGTTAGAGTTTAAGATAAGGAAGATTTGTTTGTATTATAGAGTTTATTTAAATTTGACTAGGATGGAGAGGTTCTGTTAGGGTTGGTGAGGATAAGGAAGATTTGTTTGTATTATAGAGTTTATTTAAATTTGACTAGGATGGAGAGGTTCTGTTAGAGTTTAAGATAAGGAAGATTTGTTTGTATTATAGAGTTTATTTAAATTTGACTAGGATGGAGAGGTTCTGTTAGGGTTGGTGAAGATAAGGAAGATTTCATTGTGTTTATTAGTTATGTTAAGGTTGATTACGAATTAAGTTTTATTAGGTTATGTAGTATAGAAAAGCCAAGTTAAATTGAGAATGAGGGAGTTTTTTTAAAGCAGAGGTAGGATGGAGAACCTTAAGAAGGAAAATAAATTATATTAAGGTTGAATTAGGTTTAGATGGGGGGAAGAGTGAAAAGGAAGACAGTTTTTAAAGAGAAATGTGGGTTGGAATAAGAAATTTTGTTTAGAAGAAAACAATATAATGTAATGGAAAGGCTAGTTAACGTTAGGTGTATGATGGGTGATGAAAAGGCCTAGTTGGATTCACAACGATATATTACACTGGCATTTTTTGTCAGATATAATTATAGGTGGGCTAGATAGCTTTTTGGACGCTGATTCCAAATCTGTTTTTGGTTTTCCTCTAGCACGTCAAGTTTTCGTGATGAAACCGATCAAATTTGAAACATTATTGCTTTCTTTTTTTCATTAGTATGTACTGTATAAATTTAACCAAGTTTATGGTGTGTTTATGGGAAGTATATTGAAAAATGAATAAACTTGTAACGTTAACTAGCCTAACGTGTGATTATTACCTAAACTGTGCTGAAATTAACACGTCATATTTCGATAACTAGAAGAAAACTGAAAACAGATTTGGAATCAACGCGCAAAACTAGTCTAGAAAAATGTGCTTACATCTTTGATGAGATAATAAAAAAGTT